AGTCTTTTGAAAATTCAAACAAAACACCAAGACAACCTAAAAAAGCAATGAAGAAGGATACAACACCTTGGTGGATAACAGAAGATGATTTTCAAGATGATGGTAAATCTTGCTAATTTTTTGTTTTAAATCATTTGACCACAAGAGGTCAGTCAAGACTCTTAATTCTAGACTTTGTTACTACATTATTAAAATATAAAGAAAATGAAACTGGTGGGGTGCAGTTTTGACGTTGGAGTTGATTTTCACATTACTACTCCACTTTGTTACATAGTATATAATCGAGAATGCCTTTTTGCATTATTTTACATTGAGTATTTATATATTCAAAGTAAGGAGATAAATAATTTAGATATATTTGTGCATCATCATGTATAATGTTATAAATTGATTCAAAGTGGTTTAATAAAATAATCTTGTCCTATGTTAATGCCATCACATTAACAAATACAAAGAATTTGACATCACAGTTTATTAATGGAAAAAAAAAGAACAGTAAGTTACTGCTGTAACAGTAATAAACTCAATAATCTTCTCTGACATGAGCTTATACCTTTTCCAGAATGTTCCTAATCACATCTTTTAAGCATTTATATATAATAAGTATGTAACATATGTGGTACTGTTATTGACTTACAGTAAGTCATATTATATAGGATATATATGTATAGCATGTGATATTGCCACATCTGTAGAGAACCCCATCTACTAATGTGTTGGCAATATTTGGGCATCAGTATTAAGGACAATTTGGTGGACTAACAGAATGTATGTTTCTCTTATCTAGGGGAAAAATTTAACTGTACTGTTATTGTCCTGCCCCCTCCAGCCCCCTAAACACACAAGATTGGCTCTGAATTCATTAGAGTGATACTTGAAGTCCTGCATAATCTGATGGGAGCCCTGTTTTCTTACTCCTGTGATCCACCTGCACTCAGTTATTCTGTCTGTCTGCTGGAAACACCTTTGGATCTCAGCCTCTGCACCTTGCTTAGCCCAAGCTTCTTACTATTTTAGGCCTTCAGCTCATCTTCCTTGTCCAGTGAGGCTTGACATGATCCAACTCCTTGTTGACACGGTTATTTTCTCCTTTGAGATTAGAACACCATACCATGCAGGAACTTCCACATTGTGTGGAGCCTGTAGTGCTCCCACATTGGGAGATTTGTGAAGGCGGGAAGCACTTCTTTTCCCATGTGACTTTTCACTCTCAATAGTTAACGAGCATATTTAATAAATGAGTAGCATAGATTTCACTTATCACACTTTTTCTTAGTACTACAATACATTAAGGAAATTCCTCAGTGAAAAGTTTAATGTGCTTCTTTTTTTTTCATAAATCCCTAAACCAGGTAACAATGCTGAAATATTCATGAAAAGAATTCTTTTCTAGAATCATTTTTAGTACTCAAAAGGATATAGGATAAAGTAACCTGAAGATTGTTCCCAAAGATTTGGGGATTAATTAGCATCAAAGCCTTTTTTTCTAGAAGACAGTGAATCAGAGCTGAAATATACAAACTCACCCTAAAGGGAAAGCATTGTTCCTAGAACAGAAGCACTTGCATGTAACGAAACTACATGTATTGATCTGAAGAATGTTTCAGTGCACGTAGGTTCACTTAGTAAAAGAAGCAAGGAAAGATAAGCAAGAAGGAAACTTAAGAGTTTCTCTGCCCAGAGTATAACCTGGTCCCTTGCTCAATCACAAGCACTTACTGAGTTCACATTACTTTCTGCTTAGTAAGTACTACTGTAGTCAGACAAGACTTGATTCCTGCCATCAAGCTTCTGAGAGACTAGAATACCCATCTTAAGAGAAATATGTTATCAGTCTTGAGTAGCTACATTAAACACTAAAAGTGAGCAAACTCTGTAATAATCTTGTCATCTTGTGTTTTTTTCAGTTGCCATAAAGCTACATAAAGTGTTATGCCTAGTAAGTGAAACTGTAACCCTCTTGCTGGTAATATTGTTCAGTATAAAAACTAAGTTGGCCTTGAGGTTTTCTTTGGGATTGTCGCTGGTGAGCTATTGGTCTTGGTCTCATCACTTGAACCCAGTTTTCGAGCCAAAGTGAGGCCCTGGAGTTACTGTAACAGCACATCAGCTGTTGCACTTAGCCATCCGTAGTGTCTGTGGAGTATCTCTTAACTTTGTATAGCTGTCTGGAAACTGCTGTCTGATCTAGTAAGACCATTAGTCATATAAAGCCATAAAATAAATTGATTCTGGGGCCATTTCCAAAAGTACACTGATTAGGAAATTCAAGTTAAAATCTGTACCTCTTGTTAAGCTTTCTCTAACATATAATGATACTGTTTTTAATCTGCCTTTCCCATATATCATGTTTCTACAGCAGATATACCGTGATTCCAAATAACTATATATATTTTATACCATCTCCAATATTTTTGGTCTTAGTTGTTTGAATTGACATGTGGAACCCATGAAGCAGAAGGGAGGCTATACTATTAGAGCAGTGAAATTTCGATATTGTATATATTTGAAGGCCAAGAAGTGATTGACACTGTATAACCTTCAATGTTTTAGACTAAAGAACAAAATCCTAACCCTGGCCCATGAGGCCAGTCAATGGTGTGGTGGTAGACTTCCTGCTCTAGGCTTGCTTCCTCTTGTGTTCTGGTTACAGCCTTAGTAATATGCATCCTCCTGTATGGCCTGCTCCCATTGTTAAGCCTTTGACCTGCTGTTCTTTCTGTTTGCAGGTATCTCCTTATCCTAATTCACATGGGTATTTCCTAGTCTCCTTCACATCTTAGCAGAAGTGGTACTTGTTACAGAAATATTCTTAAATTTTCTAGTCTTATTATAACTTTTCCTCCATATGTATGTGTATCCATATCTATGTGTGTATGTATATATGTATGTGTATATGTATTAATACGCATCAAAACTCTAGAGCTTCCATTCATATTCAGCTCTCCCCTGCAGAGCCTTCCCCTTCTCTAGCAACCTTCTCCAGTTGTCACTTTTTTCTCCATCTTCCATCAGACCTTCCTCCCTCCAGTCCTTATGAAGCATGTCATCAGACCACTGCTCCTTGTTGCCATTGTCTACTGATATCCAGGTTATTCCTCATTCCTCAAATATTTTAGCATCTGTTTTCAGCTTCAATTTCTAATTTTCCATGTTCTGGACTTGCTTCATTAATAACTTAGCTAACCTCTCCAATAATCAAGCTTTTTAGTTCCTTGACTACCTTTTCACCAAAACTCTTTCCATCATATCATCATCCCTTATCCTTCTCCAGCTTCTCACATCACTCATAAAAGCCAGTGACTTAAAATTGCCACCCCACCTCAGCCCTCCACTGTGATGTCTCTGACCTCTCACTCTATGTTCCTTTTACCTGCATCATGTAACTGCACTGGCAGCCTCACCTTCATACCTGTCTCACTTCAATAATTAAGAACTCCTGGACAATCTTATTTACCTGCCCCCCAACACACACCAGATTTTGCTGACCAAAACAGACAAAAAATTTTCAAGTTCCCTATCACTTCTGTCCATAGGTATTTCAAAGTATCTCTTAAATAAGAACTCTCTTTAAAAATAGACCATATCCAAGAAGTATCTATAGTGACTCCTTATTATCATCTAATACCTATTCGTTCTTGAAACCCTTTTAATAT